CGAGAGGGAAGGGCCCAGGGCCCAGAGGTCAGCTGGACTGGGCGGCCCGGCCACTAGGCGCAGGCTGAGGCCCTAGGCCAGAGCAGCCCGGCCGCCAGGCAGCGAGCCGCGCACTCCGCGATGATTAACCGGAGACGCGCACTCACCAAAAGGATCACACAGAGGAGGGCGCCCAGGCCTCCGCCGCACCGCCACTCGGTCTCGGAACCGTCGCCCTCGCCGCGAACTGCCACCGCCGCTGCCGCCGCCGCCGCCGCCGCCACTACTCGCTAGTTGGCTTCCCTGCGTCCTGCGGCGGCGCTGCCGCCACGCCATCGCGCGTGCGCGACGCCGCGGGGGCCCCTGGGACTGGTGGTTCGCGCGCACGGCCGGCCGAGCCCTTCCGCCTTAGCCGGGCCGGCCAGCCTCTGGCTGGTGTGGTCGTGGGCGCCTGCGGTACCGAGAAGCGTCTTCCGGAAAGTTGTTCCTCACCAGACGCGGACGTCTGCTGCCGCGTACGGTGCTGCTGGATGTGAAAAACCCGCAGGAACAGATACGTGTAAAGTAAGACAATTTAGAGCATTTACGTTTTAGTTAACAAGTGTCACTTGCCCAGGACACACACGCCAGAGCGCGCGCGCACACACCCCCCCCACCTCTCCCTATCTGTTAAAACTATCGCAAATTGCCTTCAGTGGTATCTGGATTTGCGGTTTAAACCTGAGTTCCCAGTCCTCATTTTATCGTTTTACTTTGTAAATTTGACCATACAGTTTAAGTTGACTGACTTATCATTTTACAAAAACAGTTCAGATACATTCAAATGTTAAGTTAACCGAGCTGAACAGTCATAGAAGCCTTAGAATTGAAAGACACCTTAAAGGTCATTAGTCCAGCTTCTGCCCGGGCAGGAATTCGCTTCTGTACATGACAGCCAGATGGTTTTCCAAGTTCTGTTTCATCAATTCGAATTTCAGGGATCTCACAGTCATAGGACAGCCTGCTCCACTGTTGGACAGCTCTAAACGTTGGAAAGTTCTGGCTTGTGTGAACTGATTTACTTCCTTCCACTGCTAGTAGTTATGCCTAGAGCAATATAGAATATTTTCCACATGACAGCCTTTCAAAACATTGAAAACAATGATTATATCCTCCAACACTGAGAGACGCCAGGCAAAAAAATAATAATAAAAATAACAATAATAGTTTACCAACTATTTCAAATATGAATCAGCTCTGAGACTGCTTTACACTTAGTCATTCTCTCTGATATATTACCCTTAAAAATTGCCAAAATTTGTTTCATATTTATTGCCTCATTTTATTACGATAGCATTCTATAGTTAGCTACTCAGGTATTATCGCTGTCATATTGCCATTCAACTGATTCAAGAATTCAGTTCAATCAAAGACTATCAGCTTTATTTGAAAGCATTGCTGAGACTCTCAGCAGAATGAAGGGGAAAAAAAAGCCACAAGATACAGTTTACAATCTAGGGTAAGAGGGTAACTCACACAGATTAAGGATCATAATAAGCTAAGGTATAAAGTTCTATGAGAATCCCTGAGAAAAGCTTCATCAGGTTGAGGGGCCATGACTGTAAGAAGAAGGAGATGACATTTGGCAGTTATTGGAAGGCTGGATTTCAAGAAGGGAGATGGCATGTGAGGATTGCTAAGGAAGAACCCATGCTGAGCAAAATGAATGTGTAAATGAACACAGTTTGCTTTCACTTAACTCTGGGCTGGAGCACACACGCCATGGAGGAGAGGAAGAAAAGGACCCCCAAAGTTGCAAAAAGTTCTTGAGGGTCGTGAAAAGAGCACTGGGATTGTCAGTTGTTTTGAGCCCTACTCTGTCATCTATAAATGAAGAGCTTTAACTAAATAGATAAGGTTTTCAACTTTTTCCCCACCTAGCACACTCCAGAACACAACCCGCACATTAGAACAGTGGATCACCACAAAAGTAGTTCTTGTGGAATATGTAGTAGGTAGTGTTCTTAACACCTTTTACACATGAAGAAGTGAACTGAAGAGGTGAAAAGATGCTTGGGGCGCCTGAGTGGCTCAGTCAGTTAAGCATCTGACTTTGGCTCAGGTCATGATCTCACGAACCGTGAGATCTCACGATTCCTGAGTTTGGAGCCCTGCAATGGGCTCTGCACCGATGGTGACAGCCCATTTGGGATTCTGTCTCTTGTGCTCTCTCTGCCCCTCCCCTGCATGCACACGCGCACACACACACTCTCACTCTCTCTCAAGAAACTTAAAAATATATATTTAAAAAAAGAGTTGCAAAGATGCTCAAAAACAAAAAATAGTACCCCCTGAGGGCAGAGAACCCCAGTTTATTCACCACTGCCCTTCTGGAACCTGGCATGCTGCCTAGGATGTAATACATATTTGTTTTTGTTTGTTTCCTTTTTTTTCTTTGTTTATTTTTGAGACAGAAAGAAACAGACCATGAGTGGGGGAGGGGCAGAGAGAGAGGGAGACACAGAATCTGAAGCAGGCTCCAGGCTCTGAGCTGTCAGCACAGAGCCTGACGCAGGAATTTGAACCCACGAAGTGTGAGATTGTGACCTGCGCCGAAGTCAGACACCCAACCCCTTATTTACAAGGATATAAAGATACTTATCCATAGTTATGAAATTCATACTGTATAGAGCTCAGTTCTTCAGATTCCTCTCTACTCTCCATTAGATTACTCTGCTGCAGAATCAGGGAGCAGTGACAAACTCAGAATTTTTAAAAAAAAATTATTCTCTTTCTTTCTGTTTGTGCACAGCCAGTTTTAGAGGTAAGCCCAGAAAGCAGATGCTGTGCCAAGTGATTTGAGAGGCCTTTTGCAAGTATTTCTGGACAAAAATATTTTATCCTTAGGTCTGTGAAAGGATCCTGAAATGTCATCATTGGTATAGATACATTGAATCATGGATATTAGAGTTGAGTCTCGGGGCGCCTGGGTGGCTCAGTCGGTTAAGCGTCCAACTTCAGCTTAGGTCATGATCTCATGGTTTGTGGGTTCAAGCCCTGCATAGGGCTTGGTGCTGACAGCTAGCTCAGAGACTGGAGCTGATTCAGATTGTGTCTCCCTCTCTCTCTGACCCTCCACTGCTCATGCTGTCTTTCTCTCAGAAATAAATAAAACATTAAAAATTAAAAAATAAATAAATAAAAATTAACAAAAAAGGAGTTGAGTCTCAGAAATCATCTCAGAAATCTAACACTTGCGTTTGTATGAATTTGGAGATTGTTCTAAAAAAAAAAATCCTAATTAAAAATACACGGCCCTGGGAAACATAACATTTTAGCATAGTATGCACCTATACTTAGGAAAGAAATATGTCAGTTGAGAGCAAACCATACCTGAAAGAAAAGCAGGGTCATATCCAGAAAGGAAGATTAGGAAGTGGAAGAGCAAGATTAAGGGGTAGAAACAAGGACCTCACCTATGATCTGATTTTTCTACTTGGCACACAGTATGGGAAATAAGTTACTTTGAAGTGATAGTACTGCTTGCCTGTGGAAAGCCACAGCTTGTGGAAAGATTAGTCTTAGTGTCTCATCTAAGTCAATTAAATTATAAGCAAGGCAATAAATACAGCAATAACAAACCAATACAACAGAGAATTCATAATTTTACTATGAACTGTAAGCATGTATTTTCAACTGTAAAACAAAAATGTCACCAACTATATATATCCCATCCAGTTGTTAGGAGGATAAAAGCAAAAGAAGGCAGGTCAAAGCTTTGGATATCACAAACCAAAACAAATGTAAGCTGTTATGCTATGACATAGTTCAAACTCAAATAGCAGGCAAACATTTAATGCTGAAAGCTAACTAAGCCATTACATTATATTGCTTTTCTAAAATTCATTTTCGGGGCGCCCGGGTGGCTTAGTCGGTTAAGCGTCCGACTTTCGCTTAGGTCATGATCTCGCGGTTCGTGGGTTCAAGCCCCGCGTCGGGCTCTGTGCTGACTGCCAGCTCGGAGCCTGGAGCCTGTTTCAGTCTGTGGCTCCCTCTCTCTCTGACCCTCCCCTGCTCACGCTCTCTCTCTCTCTCCTAGAAATAAATAAAACATTAACAAAAAAAAAAATTAAAAAAAATAAATAAATAAAAAACATTCAAATAAAATAAAATAAAATTCATTTTCAAACAAGTAATACAGAAATGCATTCTTGATCTTATATATATACACAATACAAATAAGTCAAAAATTCCTCTTGATTCCCATCCAATTCCACCCAGAGGGAGCCACTCTTGTCAATTTGATAGGTGTCTGTTTAGATTTTGGGGAAGGGGGTATTTAAATAGGATCATATTCTACGCACAGTTCTGTGTTCTGTAACTCGTTCTTTTCATTTAAAAATAAATCCTGAGGGGCGCCTGGGTGGCTCCGCTGGTTGAGCATACAACTTTGGCTCAGGTCATGATCTTGTGGTTCACTGGTTCAAGCCCCACAGAGGGTTCTGTGCTGACAGCTCAGAGTCTGGAGCCTACTTCAGATTCTGTGTCTCTCTCTTTGCCTCTCCCCTGCTCATGTTCTGTCTCTCCCTCTCTCTCTCTAAAATAAACATTAAGAATAAATAAATAAATAAATACAATAAAAATAAGTCCTGGCATGCCTGGATGGCTCAATCAGTTGAATGTTGACTCTTGATATCAGCTCAGGTCATGATCCCAAGGTCAGGGGATTGAGCCCTAGTTGGGCTCTGTGTTGAGCATGAAGCCTACCTAATACTCTCTCTCTCTCTCTCTCTCTCTCCCCCAGCCCCATCCCTCTCCCCCCAACTCTCTCAAATTCAAATTTAAAAAAATTTAAAAAATAAATCCTGAGGTACCTGGGTGGCTCAGTCAGTTAAGCGTCTGACTTCAGCTCAGGTCATTTCATTTTGTGAGCTCGAGCCCCACGTCAGATTCTGTGCTGAGAGCTCAGAGCCTGGAGCCTGCTTCGGATTCTGTGTCTCCCTCTCTCTCTCTGTCCCTCCCCTGCTCATGCTCTATTCTCTCTGCCTCTCAAAAATGAATAAACATTAAAAAATATAATAAATAAATCCTGAACTTCATTCCATATCAATACATAAAAAGCTACCTCATTGTTTTGAAACTTTGCACAGTATTTCCATAGAATTACCTATCGTAGTTGATTTAGCATCCCCTATTGATAGACATTTAGATTGACTGTATGTTCTGAATAACGAAAAATACACATGAATTAACTACGTTATTTTTTTTAACATAATTAAAATATTTTTAAGGTAAAAATATTCTAAAGCTCTGGCAATCTATAAACAAACAAGAATCCAGAAAGACATGCATGGAAGCTGTTTTATACACAGGTGGCAGAAAGTATTCCTTTATAAAATACATTTTGCTCTTTGGAACATCCCAATTGAAAGTAAAGGATAAGACTACAGTCATGGTCTTACTCCATGTTGTGGGCCCTCGGTTGTCCTACACTGGCCCCCACTGGCAGGCTCAGAAATAGTACTCAGAGGAGGATTTGCTATGAAGCATGATTTAGGGCCACTCATTCGCCTGGGGATCCTTCTAAGACCCAAGCAATTCACAGTCAGTATGGATTTGTGACATGTGCCAAAGAATTTTTAATTACTGGCTACACTGAGGACAACATATAAAAGCCTAAAACTTAGTAATACAGAGAATGAGGAAAATGATTCCTATTGAACAGTCATAAATCATGCAACTCACACTTCAGCCCAGTGAAATCTACTATAAACCATAGTTTGCTACTAGTACCAGGAGGTCCACAGTGATGTGAGCCATCGTGCTAATACAACAGAAAATTTTGGTGTGTTATCTGTATTTGATTTAATCTATGACTAATTATATGAAATATCTTTAATGTAATTATATCTTACACATCTTTCACGGACAAGCTTTTTTGTTCTCCTATATTACTTTTATTTATTTACTTTTTAAGTTTTCTAGAGGATGTATTGATATGTATTTAAAAGAAACTGTTGACAAATATTCACCAGAAATAATGTGAACAAGCAGGAAAATATAGTTAATACTACTGAAACCGTAAATAATTCGAGGATACATGGTTTGTCTGACAAAACAGTACCTCTTAAATCCTGTCATTGAAACAAACATGAACTGCTTCTTTTCTAAACAAACAGTGGTATAGTTAACAATATTCAATAACTTTTTTTCTGAATAAATAAAAATTAAAATACCAATTAAAAAACAAATATATCTTCTCTTTAAATATTTCCTACAGATACAATTTCAGTATTTTCATTCAATAGTGGTGTGGTGTAAGAGACTTTTCCTACACAAGTCAAACAACAATCCACCCAAAGGGAATCAATAATCTATATAGGCTCACAGTACAAACAAAGACTTTAGGAAAGCAGCAGATGATATTTCTAACAAACATAGCAAATGGATAAAATTCTTAGAAGTAGAAGATACATGCAATAAGGTCTACTAAGCAGCTGGCCACAGATCTAGAACATTTGATCATTTTACTAGTGATTTCAAGGGAACTCTAGATGTTTCCAAACTCGAACACTCAACTTAGGCTTTGTATTTTGCTTTTCCAGTTTCACTTATGACACAAACATGATTCAAATCCCTGAAATATTCATTATAGTCAAGGGCATAACCTACAACAAACTTGTCTGGAATTTCAAATCCAACAAAGTCTGGTCTGTATCCAACGCTTCGAGGAGTCCTTTTCACCAGCAAGCTTGCAACCCTGACCATCTCTGGATTATATTGCTTGACCAAGGAAAGCAAGGTTTGCATTGTTTTGCCAGTGTCAATTATATCTTCAACAATCAAGACATTCTTTCCAGTTAACGTCGAGAGATCATCTCCACCAATTACTTTTATATCCCCTGTTGACTGGTCATTACAGTAGCTTTTCAGTCTAATGAAATCTACAGTCATAGGAATGGATCTGTCACTATTTCTGTTCAGTGCTTTAATGTAATCCAGCAGGTCAGCAAAGAATTTATAGCCCCCCTTGAGCACACAGAGGGCTACGATGTGATGGTTTCCCATCTCCTTCATCACATCACGTGCAAGCCGTTCCGTCCTGTCCATAATTAATCCATGAGGAATAAACACCTTTTCCAAATCCTGAGCATAATGATTAGGTATACAAAATAAATCTAGGTCATAACCTGGTTCATCATCACTAATCACAATGCTGGAGCTTCGCGTTGCCATAGCAGAGCTTGCTGGTGCGTGGACTGAGGGCAGTTCTCTTCTGTATTACTTTTAGTTTTAAGTTCTTAAAGTTTTTCAAGCTTGGCAAATTCCTGACAGATAAACAGGGATTTTTTTTAATAACAAGAAAATGTAGATTTCAAAAGTAACATTCTTACAATTTACTCTTTGAAAAACAGGTATCAACGATTTTAATTTTTTTAATGTTTATTTATGAGAGAGCGAGAGAAAGGCAGAGCATGAGCAGGGGACGGGCAGAAAGAGAAGGAGACACAGAATCTGACACAGGCTCCAGGCTCTGAGCTGTCAACACAGGCCTGTTGCAAGGCTCAAACTCACAAACTGGGAGATCATGACCTGAACCAAAGTCAGGCGCTCAACCAACTGGGCCACCCAGGCACCGCAACAATTTTAATAGCTACACAATATTTCATCATACTGAAGTATCAATCTATCATTTCTTTTTTTTTTTTTTAATGTTTATTTATTTTTGAGAGGGAGAGACAGAACATGAGTAGGGAAGGAGTAGAGAGAGAGGAAGACAGTATCAGAAGCAGGCTCCAGGCTCTGAGCTGTCAGCACAGAGCCCGACGCGGGGCTGGAACTCACAAACCATGAGATCATGACCTGAGCCGAAGTCGGACGTTTAACCGACTGAGCCACCCAGGCGCCCCTAATCTATCATTTCAAAATGGAAATTGTTTATTCCTGATAAATTTTAAATGCTAAACTCATGCAATTAAAAAAATTCTAAAATACAGAAATTAAGATGTCAGACTTTGTAAAGCTTATTTAAAAATAATGGTATAGTAGGGGTGCCTAGGTGGCTCAGTTGGCTAAGCATCTAACTCTGGATTTCAGCTCAGGTCATGATCTCAGGGTTTGTGTGATCAAACCCCCGAGCGGGGTCTGCACTAACAGCTGAGCCTGCTTGGGATTCTCTCTCTCCCTTACTCCCTCTCCCCCTCCCCTTGCTTGCACACATGCTCTCTCCAAATTAATAAAAATAAATACATACTACTATCATATTGTTGAATAACCTACTTTTCTTACTTAACAATATATAATAGGTTTGTTATACCAACTTGACAAGCAAATTCTAAAATTTTTATGGAAATACAAGTGCCAAGAATAGCAAAGACACTCCTGAAGAACAATGTGGGAGGTCCTGTTCTGCTGGATATCAAACTATAGTAATTAAGACAGAAGCTAATATGATGAATGGTAAAATTCTAAAGACTATAGCAATAAAGAAAAGTTAACTTTTTTATGGAAAAGGAAATTAGGATCAGCTGAGGTGAAAAAGTGAGGACTTCTGGGTGCTGACAACATTCTTTTTCTTGACTTGGATATTGAATGCCTAGGGATTCACTTTATGATTATTCACTAAACTGTACAATTGCATTTTATGTACTTTTCTGTATTCACATAGTAATTTATAATAAAAAGGTTTAAAATATGTAAAACATCCAGCACATAGTAGATACTCAATTAAAGGTAGCTACTATAGACATTAAAAAAAAGAGAGAGGCAGTGGATTTATGACAATCTCCAAGAAATACAGCTAACTGGATGGAGGCAGAACCATGTGTGTAGCATGTTCCATCACTAGTTTTAAAGCAGGGATATACATACTGTATATGAATCTGAATAAAACTGCACTAGAAGACTACACAAGAAAGTGGTGACACTGGTTACCTTTACCAGTGTAGAGGAACAAGTCTGGGGACGGGTGGCAGGCAGATGTATTTTCATTGTGTATTACTTGTTGTACCCTTCTAATTTTATACTATGTAGTTATATTTCCTATTTTATTTTTATTTATTTAAGTACTTACTTACTTAAATATTCTCTACACCCAATGTGGGGCTCGAACTTACAAGCCCAAGATCAAGAGTCGTGTGCTCCTCTGATGGAGCCAGCCAGGTGCCACTATATTTCCTATTTAAAAATTTTTAAAATTTAGGATACATAATCAAATATTACCACTCAAATTCTATAGAGGTAGCTCTTTACACTTAGTAGCTTTTTTACTTCAAAAGAAAATTTAAAACAGAAGAATTAGCACATTTAACATATAAAACCAAAGTCTTTACAAGTAATCAAATACCTTTATCATAACAACAGCCTTGTGAGGAGGCAAAATTACATACATTTTACAGATTTGTAAACAGAGCCTCAGAGAGATTAAATGACTTGCCCTAAATCATAACTAGTTAAGTGACAGACCTGGAACTCTAGTTTTTAAGCTTCCAAATTCCATGGGCTATTCTCTCTATCATACTATCTGACACAGGATGCCCTCGGACATGCCTTCCACCAAAAGAAAAAAAAAAGTGAAGAATAGAAGATGCACTATTTGTAACTTTTCATTTTGTGTGGGGAAGGTCCCCTATTAATTATAAAAAGTCAATACAAGGAGACTTAATTGAATAGCACATTACACTTTCAAAAGCACTAAAAAATGCTACATGATTTATACCTAGTATTGTTCTTAGCTCAGGTGTTAGGGAGATACTTTTGTTTTACTCCTGAGTTGTTTAATGAAGGTTGAGGGATTATTCCCAGTCCCTTATTAAAAGAGGCATCTATGTGGCCAGTATAAGAAAGAAATTAGATATAGCACTTTTTTTTTTAGATATAGCACTTTTAAAAGCATTTCCAAAAATCTGTCAAATTCAACATAAATCACCAAACATTATTTTCCACTGACAGAAATCTTGAAAATTGACCTTCAGGAGATGGTTTTCTTGAAGGGCTTCTAAAGTTTCTTCTCACAGGGGTGCCTGCCTGGCTCAGTTAGAAGAGCAAGTGACTTTTGATCTTGGGGTCATGAGTTCAGGCCCCATGTTGGTAGAGATTACTTAAATAAATAAGGTTAAAAAAACATTTTAAAAAAAACATAAAATTTCTTCTCATAGTATTTTCATATGATTAATAGCATTATTCTACAACTTTCCAAACACTTTTACATACAGTATCTCATCTGATCATTGAAACAAACCAAGAAGACAGGACAGAAATCTCTGACATTCAATAGATAAAGAAACTGAGACTCTGGTAGGTTAGTTTTTTCCAAGGTTATTTGCTTTAGCTCTTAGCTGAATATTCTCTCCAACAACAGATGTGGAAAATTCTCAATTATCAGGGTCTAAACATTCAATTTGTCAGTTACATAGCCTTTTCCTTTTCCTTCCTGTTCTGTGCCTTTAATTCCCTTTCAGATAGGAAGATTTAGAAACTAAATGACATCCAATCCTAATCAATCCTAACTCTGCTTAGATTTCTGATATCAGATGGAAAATAGAAATCTATTTTCTTGTCCATAGGAGCACAAGTGAAATGAGCTAGTTTAAACTACTGATAAAAACCTACATTTGTCTATTTCTCATTACCAAAATATTTGCAAACTATGTAACTGCTTTATATCTCAAGCAAGATATAAATCTTGGGGTGCCTGTGGCTCAGTCAGTTAAGCGTCCAACTCCTGATTTCAGCTCAGGTCGTGATCTCACAGTTTGTGGGATTTGTGGGATGAAGCCCCAAGTGGGGCTCTGTGCTGACAGCATGAAGCCTGCTTGGGAATTTCTCTCTGCCTCTCTTTCCTGTCCCTGCTCATGCGTGCATGCAATCTCTCTCTCTCTCAAAAATAAATAAACATTAATAAAAAGATACAAGTCTTATAAACCCAAAGCTCAGGATGACAAACTAGACTACAGAAATTAAAAATCAAATTGCCAAAGCTTCAAATCCTGGCTACCTATCTTCTCAGCTATGTGAACTCCTGGGCAAGTTTCTTTATCTCTTGGGGCTTCAGATTCCTTAGCTCTAAAATAAGGATTTTAAAAAATGATTTCATAAAAATTAAAAGAGATAATGCACATAAAGTGTTTAGCACAGTGTCTGGTACTTAAATATTGATAATTTGGCACAATACTATTACTGTAATTTATCAGTCAGGAAACTAGATTTACTTACGTGCTTTTCTATTCAACCCATAAATGATCACAATTTGGAATATACTACAACCACCAATATACTCGTTCCCTTTGGAAGTTAGTCAGATATCACTTCTCTCTTAGAAAAGAGAGAATTGCCGAAGATTACTCCCATCAATCAAGGACAAGGCTGAAATTGGGAGCTTTGTTTTTAAGGGAAATGGATATTATACACACAAAGTTTGCTTGGGAATGGTATGGTATGAAGCTGTACTGTGGCTGAATGTTAACTTCTATCTTGATAATGAACTGATGCAACCTACAAAGGGTCAGTGTCACGGCAGTATTACAAGCCCTGTTGTAAGATGGGTGATGCAACTTCTATAGTTGATTCTGAGTCACCAGCATAACCTTTGAGAAGCACTGAAGGAGAAAGGAAAATTCTTGAGTACTGACTCCTAGACTCAGCATCTTAGGAAATCTGTGTGTAAGATGTCTACAGTGCTGTGTGAACATAGTATTGTGCATACCCATGAATCTCAAAAATACATCTAGTGGGTAAAATACTGCAGTCCTCAGTTCCTGACTATGACAACGTCCCATGCATTTTCTGTAAGCATCTCAAAATATCTTGTTATCAGGTCTTTGGGTCTGTCCATAGCAGGTCCTCCAAAAAGATTTGTTGAATGAATTAAGTACTTAAAAAAAAAAAAAATTGTTAAGAGCATTGGTTGCAGAGCCAAGCGGACATGGATATCAATTTCAACTCCAACACTCACCAGCTCTACACCTTTAGGCTAATAACTTAATATTTCAGTCTCAATTTTCTCATCTGGAAAATGAGAAATGCCAAGTATTATACTAAAGACACAGGAAACAGAACAATGCTTGGCACATAGTAAGCCTAGAGTGAACAGTAGCCTCTATTATTTTTTGCTACAGGATGCTATACAAGAGTAAAGCAGTATCAAGACATCTCTATCAGATGGATTTAAGCACAATCTGACCTCTTTCAGGAGGTGTGAAGTTCGAAAGGTATCAAGATTGAAGGCTCAGGAAGGCCTTGCAGATGATAACCCAGGCCACAAAGGAAAATGATGGGCAGAGGAGGGGAAAGCAAGGGGTGCCAGGGGATGGCATTAGTAAGCTCTTCAGCAGAGGGTTGCCACACTAGGGTGGGGACTCAGGGAGAGGAGGCAGTTACTTTGGCCAGGCCTGTGACTTACCGTGGGGCAGGGCAATGTGGAGAAACCTGGTACAGATAAAACTATCTGGCTAGGGAGAGCAGGGCCGATAGAACTGTCTAGGAGCCACGATACGCAGCTGGGCGGTGCACCGGCCAGGCCTCCGCTCAAGGGCCGCGGGCCGGAGAGCAACAATAGGCCCTGAGGCTCGGACACTCCAGAACCGTAGTGGCTATAAAGGACAGAAAATTTTTTTCTGAGGTAATCACAGCATCTACGCTGAGACCTGCCTGCCTGGGACGGGATGGAGGCTGGAGGTAAGAAGAGCCGTTTTCCGCTTCGAAAGGAGGGACGAAGAACGGACAAGAGGGCAGAGAAAAAGGAGAAGCAAAGGACTCAAACCCCACCGCCTCGGGGGAATCACGCACTCCAGACTGGACAGGGCCCCCGGGGCCCAGCCCGAAGGCGGGACTTCTGCGATCACCGGCGGAAACGGCCTCCGGCTGAGAGGTCGCATGAGGAACAGGCAGCTGCTGAACCAATGGGGCCTACGCCTGGGGCGGATGTTGTCTCCCATTGGTGATTGTTGGGCGCGGCCAGCAGCCAATGAGCCCGCCGGGGGGGCGTAGCGGTGACGTTAGCTGCGGAGGAGGCCGCTTCGAATCGGCAGCGGCCAGCTTGGTGGCCTGGACCAATCAGCGGCCTCCAACAAGCAGGGCCTTCGCCAATCGGTGGCCTCCACGACGGGGCTGGGGGGAGGGTATATAAGCGGCCTCGGCGACGGCGCGGTCGACGTTTGGCTGAGACATCCCAGATTCAACGACTTGGGAGATTTCGTGAATCTGAGAGGTAAGCGCCGCGGCCTGGCTTTCCGGACCTGCCCTTCGCGTTTTGCGCTGCTCCTGCTCACCCCGGGCCCTGTATCTTCAGATCGGTAAGCTCGGTGCGCTCCCGTGCGGCGGCCTGTGGTTGGATTGCGTCTGACGTCCTGCCTCCCTGCTGACCGACTGGCCTACGGCGCCGGCAAGATGAAGCTGTCCCTGGTGGCCGCGGTGCTGCTGCTGCTCGGCGCGGCACGGGCCGAGGAGGAGGACAAGAAGGAGGACGTGGGCACGGTGGTCGGCATCGACCTGGGGACCACCTACTCCTGGTAAGTGGGGTTTGTGGAAAGGGGGCAATGGGGCGTGGTCTCCTGGGCTACTGTGAGAATCGCAGTGCTGATTTCTTCCGTTCTTGGTCATTTTTTCTGCCAGCGTCGGGGTGTTCAAGAACGGCCGCGTGGAGATCATCGCCAACGATCAGGGCAATCGCATCACGCCGTCTTATGTGGCCTTCACTCCTGAAGGGGAGCGGCTGATCGGCGATGCAGCCAAGAACCAGCTCACCTCCAACCCTGAGAACACTGTCTTCGACGCCAAGCGGCTCATCGGCCGCACATGGAACGACCCATCTGTGCAGCAGGACATAAAGTTCTTGCCTTTCAAGGTTTGACGGGGTTTTTGTCACCCGGTTAGAAAGTGGGTGGCGGTGGGAGCATTTACGAGTAATAAGTTACTGAAAAACTGTTGGGGTAACAAGGCATAGGAACATGGCGTATATAACTTATTGAGTAAACTTGGTATGTTACAAAACTTGCTGAAAGTAAGTTTGGCAAACAAATGTCACACATAACTTCCGACTACACCGTTTAGGATTGATAGCCTGATTAAAACTGAATGTGCTTGCCTTTGTAAGGCGCTCATACTCATTAAGTATTTCTGGTGGATATTTAGCTCCAGGCAACCAAAGGAAACCAAAATAAGGGGGAGAAAGTGGGTCTCAGACCATCCTCTTTATTTAGAGTTTTAAATGTTGTGTGTCTAAAAATAATTCCTTCTTTAAAATAGGTGGTTGAAAAGAAAACTAAACCATATATTCAAGTTGATATTGGAGGAGGGCAAACAAAGACATTTGCTCCTGAAGAAATTTCTGCCATGGTTCTCACTAAAATGAAGGAAACTGCTGAGGCTTATTTGGGAAAGAAGGTAAATATTTCTAGAGCAGTGTTAAGTAATTTTGTTTTTACTACCCATTGTGTTGTGTAGTTGCTTTTATGGGTTTAATAATTAGAATCCGAATGATAATTTGTGTATTTCAGTTTTAATTGCTTGTATGTTTTACTTTAGACCAAGCAAAATATTAGGGACTTTTCATGTGTTATCACTTAATGCTTGTACATCCATGAGTAGAAGATTACATATATTATACTAACGAACTGTGCTAGAAACTAAAGTGAAGGTTTGAGTGCAACTTACGTAAGAGTTAAACAGTGTGATAAAATACACTTAATTTTCTATTAGGTTACCCATGCAGTTGTTACTGTACCAGCCTATTTTAACGATGCCCAACGCCAGGCAACCAAAGATGCTGGAACTATTGCTGGATTGAATGTTATGAGAATCATCAATGAGCCGTAAGTGTTAAATTCAGAATTATGGTGTATTAGCCAAATAGGAGTAATGTAAACTTAACTAAGCTTTTTTTTTTTTTTTTTCCTTTTTCATTCTCTTAATAGTACAGCAGCTGCCATTGCTTATGGCTTGGATAAAAGGGAAGGGGAGAAGAACATCCTGGTATTTGACCTCGGTGGTGGAACTTTTGATGTGTCTCTTCTCACCATCGATAATGGTGTTTTTGAAGTCGTGGCTACTAATGGAGACACTCATTTGGGTGGAGAAGACTTTGACCAACGTGTCATGGAACACTTCATCAAGCTCTACAAAAAGAAGACTGGCAAAGATGTCAGGAAAGACAACAGAGCTGTGCAGAAACTCCGACGTGAGGTAGAAAAGGCCAAACGGGCCCTGTCTTCTCAACATCAAGCAAGAATTGAAATTGAGTCTTTCTATGAAGGAGAAGACTTCTCTGAAACTCTGACTCGGGCCAAATTTGAAGAGCTAAACATGGTATGTTCTTGTTTTTTGCTTTGCTAACAATATCTAGTTAGACTTTGTTTGGGACATTGCATTTAGATACTGAGACCATATCTAGGTGTAACAGGCATTATCACAGTAATTGTTTCCTGTTCTAGGACCTGTTCCGTTCTACCATGAAGCCTGTCCAGAAGGTGCTGGAGGATTCTGACTTAAAGAAGTCTGATATTGATGAAATTGTTCTTGTTGGTGGCTCTACTCGAATTCCAAAGATTCAACAACTGGTTAAAGAGTTCTTCAATGGCAAGGAGCCATCCCGTGGCATAAACCCAGATGAGGCTGTAGCATATGGTGCTGCTGTCCAGGCTGGGGTACTCTCTGGTGATCAAGATACAGGTAAGTCAATGTCCCAGCATCTTCCACAATATTTCAATAGCTTGATAGAAAGAGCTGTTGCTTTAGGAAGCAAGAGAGTATGAATAACAAGGTCATACAGCTGGTAAAGGGTAAAGTGAGGACAAGACCTGGCTCAGTTTCAAAATCCTTCACAACTACATTTCATTCACTGTTTCTGAAATGATTTTGCATACAACCTCTCATCAAATGGCAAGATGGAGAACATAAAGTTTTACAATCCATGGGGACACTACTTCGTAGTGCTCCTGTGACTCAAATTAGAACTTAACCTTGGTCAACTTACCTTTGCAGGTGATCTGGTACTGCTTGATGTATGTCCCCTTACACTTGGTATTGAGACTGTGGGAGGTGTCATGACCAAACTGATTCCAAGGAACACCGTGGTGCCCACCAAGAAGTCTCAGATCTTTTCTACAGCTTCTGATAATCAACCAACTGTTACGATCAAGGTCTATGAAGGTAATACTTTGTCTTTGTTAATGACACAGTATGTTTGTGGAAAGTGCCTTCTTAATATATCTTATTGAAGTGAGAAGGGAAAGAAATAATCTGCTGGTTTCGGACAGGGGTCCCTAATTTAAGTAGTGTTGAATTTGGTAGAGTCAGCCCTAAAGTATAGTTCTCATCTAGCTAGCATTTTTTGCCATTGAAAGTGACTTCTGAGCTGGCTCCTAGAATACAGTAAGAATAGAGTTTATAGGGGCGCCTGGGTGGCTCAGTAGTTAAGTGTCCGAATTCAGCTGAGGTAATGATCTCGCAGTTCCTGGGTTTGAGTTCCGCATCAGGTTCTGTGCTGACAGCTCAGAGCCTGGAGCCTGTTTCAGATTCTGTGTCTCCCTCTCTCTCTCTCTGCTCCTCCCTTGCTCGCACTGTCTCTGTCTCAAAAATAAATATTTAAAAAAGTAACATCCTTTACACTGTTAAAAAAAAAGTTTATAATGCTGTAGATGAAATTCAATTAAAAATTGAGTTGGTAGTAACTTAACAGTTGGTCCCACTTGAAATTCCTTAGAGCAATAACTGGCCCCCTTCTAGCTTGATAAGCATGCCTTTGCCACTGTAAGCTCTAACAGACTGAAATGGAAAGATCCAGATATAGTGATGTTTGGTAGCAACAACTGACAAGTTTTTTGTATGTGTACCTTCTAGGTGAACGACCCCTGACCAAAGACAATCACCTCCTGGGAACTTTTGATCTGACTGGAATTCCTCCTGCTCCTCGTGGGGTCCCACAGATTGAAGTCACCTTTGAAATAGATGTGAATGGCATTCTTCGAGTGACAGCCGAAGACAAAGGTACAGGTAACAAAAATAAGATCACAATTACCAATGACCAAAATCGCCTGACACCTGAAGAAATTGAAAGGATGGTTAATGATGCTGAGAAGTTTGCCGAGGAAGACAAGAAGCTCAAGGAGCGCATTGATACTAGAAATGAGTTGGAAAGCTATGCCTACTCTCTAAAGAATCAGATTGGAGATAAAGAAAAGCTGGGAGGTAAACTCTCTTCTGAAGACAAGGAGACCATGGAAAAAGCCGTAGAGGAAAAGATTGAATGGCTAGAAAGTCACCAAGATGCTGACATTGAAGATTTCAAAGCTAAAAAGAAGGAACTAGAAGAAATTGTTCAGCCAATTATCAGCAAACTCTATGGAAGTGCAGGCCCTCCCCCAACTGGTGATGAAGAACCAGCAGATAAAGATGAGTTGTAGACATTGCTCTGCTAGTGCTGTAATATTGTAAATACTGGACTCAGGAACTTTCGTTAGGAGAAAATTGAGAGAACTTAAGTCTCGAATGTAATTGGAATCTTCACCTTGGAGTGGAGTTGAAAATGCTATAGCCCAAGTGGCTGTTTACTGCTTTTCATTAGCAGTTGCTCACATGTCTTGGGGGGGGCGGGTGGGGGGAAAGGAAGAATTGGCTATCTTACAAACTGGGTAAAAAAGCTGGGTTAGGGTGTGTGTTCACCTTGGAAATGTTCTATTTAACAATTGGGTCATGCGCATCTGGTGTAGGAACTTTTTCTACCATAAGTGACACCAATAAATGTTTGTTATTTACACTGGTCTAATTTTTGTGATAAGCTTCTAATTAAGTCATTTGCTTCAAGGTCAGATTCTCAC